TTCAAAGGTAGTACCTGTGTTAAAAAAGTTCTGCGAGGTACACTTATGGTGAACCAGCTGCTCAGGGATTGTACAAAAGAAAAGGGTTGGGTAGTGTCGCCGCCAAAAGCTACTTTCTTCTCCGGTTAGGGAGAGTCTTTCGCTTACTACCCGCATAAACGCGAACCATAAATTGACCTTACCTTACCACGAATGGTTTTGTAACATCGATCAACTTTATGTGGAATATATCGCGAATTGGTTGCCTGTAATTTACTGATTACCAATTCACGATATATTCCACGTAAAGTTGAGCGATAATACAAAACCATTAATGGACCTTACTGACTACCATAACCATTACCATTAATGTTCTCAAATCATAAGTAAAAACGTTCTTATATAGTTATCTTTCTGAAAATGTATGGAGAAAACAAGAATTTGGAATGGTAATGGTTCTTAACAACCCATTATTTGTAAGGTCCAGTTCCAAAAAACCATAATACATAAGGTTGAAACTTTATCATTAAACGTTCATGTAAAGTTCCATAACCATTTGAGTTAAAGTTTAGCAGGGATTATAAACAATTTTTAACCATTTTAGGTAAGGTCAATTTATGGTTCGCGTTTATGCGGGTAGGCCAGACACTGTTTCTCGATTCTAGGAGCTACTTTTTTCTCCGGTTAAGGAGAGAAGTTTTCACTTCTAGGCCGAAAGTTCTTTCGGATTCAAAAAGAGAAGAATCTGTAACCTACGAAACTTAATTTTATTCAACAAAATTGTACAAAGTGATCTTACGCCTACGTGTTGCATTAGCAACTTATAATTATGTAAAACCTTTACATGATTTGTCCAGGGTTTAACGTATCCCTTTCAATACCGAACTGACCGAACTTTAACCTAATTTGCCTATTCTAATTAGCTAGGATTCCGATCGCCCTTGAAAGGGTAAATTTGTGTTGTTTAGACCTTATATACTATGCCCTCTCAGATCTGGGATTTCTCAGATATCTTGTAAGTTTATTTATTTTTGTAACTCAGATCTGATATGGCTCTACAAATAAGAATGTGACATTTGTAACGTTTAAACATTATAATTATATCCTTCGTTAAGGATAAACAGAGAGGGAAAGCTAAACTTAACCTAGATGCGCAAGCATGCCATCCGTGGGGGTATTTATCCCACTTGAACGTACACACAAAAAATAATCGTTTATGAAATTAAAAAAACCATTAGTAGAATTGAAAGTTTGCATTGGTTCTTTTTGGTAGAAAGTCATTAGCATTCAAAACAAAAGTCTGTCAACTCTCAATTCAAAAGTTGCTCTATATCTAATTTTAAAAGTTTAAACTTTCAAAACGAATTGTAGTACTGTCAAATGAAAAACGTTGCAGTGTTAAAATTAAAAGTGGATTATTCTAATTTCAAAACAAACTTTTACCAGGAAAGTGGGGTGTAGTTAAAATAACATGGGCTATTTTTAATCGGAATTAAAATATATTCATTTTTAGAGCAAGCGTTTCTTAATTTGAATTTTAAAAAACGTTAAAAAAAGCATTATTATACAGGAAAAAATATTTATTTACAATTATGTTAGAAAACGTCGTCTAGAAAGTACTCGTGCTGATAGAACACTTGGTAGAAATTGAGACAGGTGATGGTCATCACGAAGAATACCCGGAACACATTATCAGGTTCCGAACACTGCCAGGGATCACTACGAGTAACCGGTTTTCTGCAAATACAAAATAATTTTTTAAGTTCAACGTTAAGTGTGTTCAGTTTCGTTATCAACTAATTTTAACTCACGCAGCGGGTACAGCTGTCGTCGTTGGCAATCTACGACATCATAATAAACCATGCCTCCGTTCAAGCTACTTTCATCGGATCTACCCCACCGTATGGCCGATCCCTTTCTTCGTTTGTCGTACAACCTGGTCGAGCCTGTCCCCGTGAAGTCGTGATATCCATCTCTACGAATCCGAAGGCAAAGATCAGATTGAATGAAATCTCGATGATTCCAACGAGCAACCATACCCTAATAAAAAATAACCATAAACGAACGACAACCCAAATAATAGAACCATTCCACAAATGGTTTGGATGATACCCGGAACACGTCGTTAAGCAAAATAACCATAACAATTTTATTAGGGTATTCTGAAATCTAAAATAATATTCAGTTTACTACTAACACCAACCACGAAACTATCCTCATCAGCCACTTATCACTTTGAAGACAGTTCAATGATGATATTAAACACGCACATATTTAATAGACAATCGAAGCAAATTACAGAATTACACTACGGCCGCTGTTTTTCATTTCTCCTGATCACATTAGCAATATAGGGTAAAATTTATTTCGTTTTCGCAGCTGACTTCAAAATTCCACAAGCAGAAAAGGCGGTAATTGTAGGTTACCCGGGTTGCCAGTAAAACGCAGTAAACACATAGTCGAAGAGGTATTTTTGATAGTTAAACACGTTTAATTGTGAAAAAATGAACTTTTAAAATTACAAGTTTATCGTGAAATAAATACTTTTATGCCAACAATTTAACTTTTATGTTGAATGTTTAAGTAGTTAGTTCATAGAATTGAAGGGAACTTTTAAATTGAAAATGGACTATTTTTTTAGGTACAATTTTTGTTCTTTGTGTGTAGAAACATTCCTAAGTAAATACTGCAGTTAGATCAACCGGTGATTACTCGTGTTTATTTCAGTTACCATGGGACGTAATTTGTGATTAGCCCCGAGATGCAATTATGTGGTTATCTTATGGTTTTGGTTTTAAATTAATTGCCTCGCGGAAACAAACACAGTTCAGACATTTTATGAGTAGGCCCCAGGGTGGCCAGATCTACCGATTTATCGGTAGTCCTACCGATTTTCGGGGTGCCTACCGATTCACAGACAAAACGTTCAAAACTACCGATTTTTCACTTTTCTTACCGAGAATCACATATTTTTAGATTAGAATTTGAAAAATTGATACACGTTTAAAGCATAAGAACTGAAGGACAGTGTATTGTTCTGGAGCAGAGTCATCAACCCCCCCCCCCCCACTCACAAAAGTTTCAAGTATCGGGAAAGCCTTCTTAAGGCTGTGAACCATTTACCGAGTTAAATTTAACTCGTGGTTAAAAGTGACATTTTGAAAGTTATTTCAGTGCTAACATTTGAAAACGGCGCAAAAGCCATTTGTAAACAAATGGTTTGTGGGCCCTTTACTCGCTACCCGAAGAACGCCCACGCAAACCAACAGCATCGTCAGGAAGGGGAAAATTTCCCCTACCCGATGTTGCTGTTGTGTCGCGTGGGTGTACTTCAAGTAGTGAGTAAAGGGCCCACAAACCATTTGTTTACAAATGGCTTTTGTGCCGTTTTCAAATGTTAGCACTGATTTTCTATGTTCGAAAATCCCTGTGCTGTCGATCGATCGGTTTTCGAGAAGAACTTAGCCAAGGTTGTCAAAATTTAACTTCTTGTGTGTCAGAAGTAACCACGCTCTGATAACAGGGTTAATCGATTACTTTCTATCTGTCATATTTTAACCAAAAGTTAAAATAATCCACCAAATGGTTCAGAGCCTAAGTCGACCTACCGATAACTACCGATAAAAGCTTTGAGAAGCTACCGATAATGAAAAAAATAATCTGGCCACTCTGGTGAGCCCCTTTTTCCACGAAATGTGTGAAATTTTACACACGCTTATTCTGGTCAACTCAAAATTGAGTCGAATGTACTCATCTCAGCGGCAAGTAGGGCTACTCAAAATTGAGTAGCCTTATGTAGACTCACTCTTGAGTAAACGACGTTCTCACGTGGACTGATTCAAATCCACTCAGCGATATTTTCAGTTGCGGGGGGGTTTTTGTTTTGATTTTATTTAAGGAAATGAAAATTGTCTGCTCCGGATTCATTCTTCTTCTTTCCTTTCCCTAATAAAAAATAACCATAAACGAACGATAACCCGAATCATTGAACTATTCCACAAATGGTTTGGATGATACCCAGAACACGTCGTTAAGCAAATTAACCATACAATTTTTATTAGGGTTATTTAACGTCGGTCTCTGTTCCGCAATCTAGTGCCAATCACCGACGGACATCGATTGCCATCCATTGACGGAAATCGAATGTGCAGGAAGGCAGCTTCCACACCTGCGTAGGATATCGCACCCATTCAACATACATGGGCCGGGACCAACGGCTATACTTCCCTTCCGAAGGAAGACGTGACCAGAGATTTTTATGCCTCAGAAAAATCCCACCGACCTCGATTGGGATTGAACCCACACACTTAGATTTTTTCGCCGAGATGGGCACCACCGAGCAGCTCGGCATTTTATTTTACTGGATCTCAGTGAAAAACTTGCCGAGATTCAGCTAACAAACGAGAAATTTGCCGAGATCTCAGCTAACAAACATATTTTTTGCTGAATTTCCAGCAAAATAAAATGCCGAGCTGCTCGGTGGTGCCCATCTCGGCAAAAAAATCTAAGTGTGCAGACCCATTGGGGTGTTGAAGCAGTCACGCTTACCACTACACCACCGGCGTCGGCGGATTCATTCTACCGGAGCAGAAAATGGATCAACACCATTGCCCTAAGCAATTTCTACTTACCTGAAGGAATTTCCACCCCCTTTTTGATTGAAACATTCACCCGTTTTCTAGGACGTTTCCTCCAACATGGTTGACATTTTTTCTAAGTCCAGGATTTTGCTGACTGAGTGGCTTTTACTCAGTTTATCATTTCTCGTTTACTCAGTTGTTGACAACTCGATACATCGGACGAAAGTGAGTACGATCGACTCACCCGGTGAGTAAACTAAAGTTAGCGTGCACATTTATGTGTTTACGCTGATGACCGTGAGATTATTAACTGCACCTGAGTCCCTCTCTGATGAAACGGTGAATCGACAAACGCGGAGTCGACAAAATCGACCAAGTGCCAACACACGCACACACTCGCGAAATCACCCAGAATCGGCAAACGTCAAATAGTATCAAAATAAAACGAAGCTTTCCTGCTTTCGGTAAGTTCCCATATTTCGCGATTGGATTTTTCGCGTCATTTCGAATAAATTTATCTCATTTTTCCCATAGGGACCTAAATCCAACAATTCCTAATTACCTGAGATAGACTAGAAGCGAAAAACATAGCGTTCGGGAACACCTAATCGAGAAAGTTCTTCTCACTAACTGTAAACAACTGAGGAAGGAGGCCGATCAAACGCCATAAACAACATGGATCAGATGCAGCTGAGTCCGGGGTTCTCGATTCCGAGTATCGGAACCCCGCTGCACCAACCGGAGGAAGATCAGCAGATTCTGCCCCATGCCTACCAGCAGCAGCAACAATCGATGCCTCACATGACTCCGATGGGTGGCCTTAGCGCGTACGGGTTACCTTCCGGAATGGGAACACCCGGAAAGAACATGCACACCTATGCACCCAGTTTCGCAGCACCCCAAAGCATGATTCAACCGCAAACACCGGTAAGACTTCTGTTAAGGTGGGATTTCTCGTCAAGAAAATTTAATTTGTTTTAAATCCCAACAGCAAAGCCTCATGTCCCCAATGGTACCTATGACGGAGAGCAAAGCGTCAGCAACACCCATTCATAATAGCGGGAGCAGCGTACGGGACCCGGACAACATCGGAAGTGTAAACATCCACCAGACGATGGGTCCCGCCACGCCGATGACACCAATGACCCCAAGCGAACCCGCCATCCTGCCCCAGCTGCAGAACATTGTGTCAACGGTGAATCTTAGCTGTAGGCTAGATCTTAAGAAAATCGCCCTGCACGCCCGTAATGCCGAGTACAACCCAAAACGTTTCGCCGCGGTTATCATGCGAATTCGAGAACCGCGAACCACGGCGCTGATTTTCTCTAGCGGGAAGATGGTCTGTACTGGAGCGAAGAGCGAGGAGGACTCCCGACTGGCGGCTCGAAAGTATGCGCGAATTATCCAAAAACTGGGATTTACAGTGAGTTTTTTTTTGTATTTACTAGATGATTTTTAAACAATTTTGTTTTTCGATAGGCTAAATTCCTCGACTTTAAAGTTCAAAACATGGTCGGCAGTTGTGATGTACGGTTTCCGATTCGATTGGAAGGTCTGGTCCTAACGCACGGTAAGTTCAGCTCCTACGAGCCGGAATTGTTCCCTGGGTTGATCTACCGTATGGTGAAGCCGAGAATTGTGCTGCTCATATTCGTGTCCGGAAAGGTGGTACTTACCGGTGCCAAAGTGCGGCAGGAAATCTACGACGCGTTCGACAACATCTATCCGATTCTGAAGAGCTTCAAGAAGCAGTAGTTGGGGCTCAGCAATTCCATTCCCAAGAGCCTAAGCTTTTTTGTTTTAACCATTTGATGTTTGGGTATCGTATAATAGTGTTTCTTTTTCGGTTTACAATCGTCTGGAAGTGAATTCAAAGCAAGAATAATTAATAGGAACTGTAAAAGTTGTTGGGTCGCTGCTTTTGGTGGCGAATTTTTCTGAATAAATCATTGAACAATTTATCAAATCAAATCGGAAAACAACTGCTACATACAGCTTTGCGCTAGGATATTTCGCAGCTAGGAGCTGATAGTCTTAGATTTTTAGCATTAGGCAGGTTTCCCAATAACAGGAATTCGGCTCTTACCGTTTGTTATTCGATAACAAATTGACTAATACATTATCACAATTCGATTTGCGTGTTCTTGCTTGGATGACATATCTATACATACTCGGGAAGGGGGGAGAAGGTCGAATCACGTAAGCTACCACCAAAGTCTGAAAACAGTGTATTGTCGAAATATTCATCGTATATCTAGGTAGGGTCAGGTGGGGCAAGAGTGCCACCTTAACAATTGTACGTTATGCCAAATAGTGGATATTTATAGGATTTTCAACACCGTTTTCCAACTTCATATTATTGCCTTCATACATTAGCAATGTAATGCAAATTATATCTCGTCAAAAGTTGTTTACGATTTTTTTCAAAATGTCATCTCAAATCTTTTTTTGAAACTGCAATGGGCCAAGAGTGCCAACCCCTATGGGGCAAAAGGGCCATGCGTCTTAAATTGAATGAAATCGATGCTTGTTTATAAACATAGCCTTTTAATTATTAATCTTGCTAGCAACAGCTGTTATTGTTTAACCAATTTAACTATAAGAATTTTACAATATTATTCAATAAATAACAAATGAACCAATGAATGAATGAAAAGGTTTACCAATGAAATCAAATGAAGACTATTGTTGTTGATATTTTGTGTAGCTGGTTTTGTCAAAACAAGCTTACCGAAGACATAAATGGGCAATGAAACAATTTCTTTTACATTTTTGTATAATTTTATTCATAAATATTGGGGTGGCACTATTGCCCCGTGTGACGTTCATTTTAAAGAAAATTATGTTTGACTAATTATAGGGAATATTTATATAACCTTTATTATTGGTGTTTAAATTATTCATTATTAGTGATGCCTCAATGCAGGAATTGTAGAAAACAATATTTGGACTTAATAATTTGAATATTAGGATTTTTTGCAATTTTTTAATACTTCATTTTGGACAGAACTTTCTATGATGCTGCATAGGAACACCATGTTTATTTTCAAAATTATAGGGGGTGGCACTCTTGCCCCATAAGGCACTCTTGCCCCACCCGACCCTACCTAGGTAGGATCAGGTGGGGCAAGTGTGCCACCCTCAATAAGTTTGAAAATAAACATATTTCCAATGCTAGCTCACTCATGAAACGCCTATACAAAATTATAGAAAATTCTGTGCAAAATGAAGTCTTACGAAAATTGCAAAAAATCATTTTATGCTTATAAAGAGAGAGAGAAAGATTAGTAATTTCTATTTAATTCCACTACCTTATTTGCTTATCCTTGACAGATACGCGTATTTCGTCTACAATGTGCAGACTTCTTCAGTGTCTTGTACTAATAGCCGACTATTAGTACAAGGCACTGAAGAAGTCTGCACATTGTAGACGAAATACGCGTATCTGTCAAGGATAAGCAAATAAGGTAGTGGAATTAAATAGAAATTACTAATCTTTCTCTCTCTCTTTATACAGGTATTCCACTAAGACGCCCACATTCATCAGGAATCATTTTATGTGTCGAAAATTGAAATTATTTATTATAATTAGACATCTTAAAATAAGGATTTTCGCATTAAAACAAAAAAACCTATAATGCCTGCCAGTGTTAGGAAAATCATTCTCAAATTTCATTCATTGAGCTTCCCTGCGAGAATAAACTCGCGTGCGAATGCGGCAAACAAAATTCACGCTTGAGATTCTCATGCATATTCACGCACTCACACTCACAACGCCGAAAAATCATTCCAGCTCTAAACTCATGAAAACCACACATACGTCAATTGATATCATGCCTATGCATGTTGTGTTAGTTTTCCAACCCCTGATGCACAAACAATAGTAATAACAATGAATATCGCCAAAATATAAAGCAATGAATTTTTGAACCTGAAAACTCATCGGTGATTTTTGCGACGTTGAATTCTGCAAGGCAAAACTCATAGGCGCATAATTTATAAAACTCATGCTTGAGATTTGAGATTTTGAGTTTTTCCGAACACTGATGCCTGCCTACATTTGGGCCTTACTATTAATGATTAATTGAAACAGTAATAACAAAGAATAGGTAGATTTTTTCATCACCTTCTCAAAAATGAACCTCACACGTGGCTAGTGTGCCACCCCTACATTTAAGAATAACGTTCAAGAGCAAATTTTCATTACGTCGAAAGTAACAAGGGTAAACAAAGTCGAGCTATCAGGCGATGCTTCTGCTATTACACTATAAATACTGTCCGAATATAGGATCACATCCCATTTTTAAATTTATTTACCAGTCAACTTGCTTTTTGACGTAATCACCTTCCTATCAAAATATTTTTCGATGTTACTTAAGTCACCCGATTTCTATGGAGTTGCCGTTTGTCTGAAGTAACAGCGCAGAGAAACCCGTGAAAAGTGTACGTTCGTCGTTTCGCTTTTTCATTATTTAAGTGAATAAATCGAACTGTTTGTTGATAAGATGTTTTCGGTGCTCCTAAAATGATGAATGGGCTGCACGTAAGGAGACGTGATTGATAATTCTCCCGAATATCCCGGTAAATACACGTTGACTTAAGTAACATTAGGGGGCCACCAAACGACATATAATAATTTTTGACTCAAAAACCAGCTAGCGATCTGCTTTGTATGATTAAAACCCTGCTTAATATGTTAAAGATTGCTATCACTATAAGATTATATGTGTTTAATTGCAAATAGGAATATCTTTTCGGTTATCAAAACAAAACTTTATTTTTCTCGGATCGGTGCGAATGTTACTTTCGACATAATGAAAATTTGCTCTCGAATGATTGAAAACAAGACCAACATGTGAAAAGGGCATACACTCAAAAAAATCTACACGTTAATGCTACGTGAAAACATATATGGATTTTTTCCATCGCACTTTTCACGTAACACTTACGTGACTTGCATGTAGTGAATAACGCTTCCATTCTCAATTTTTACATGGGAGTTTCACTTACAAGCTACGTGAATTTTTGGTATTAACAACGACATATTCCAGTAGATTTTAAATGGAATTAAGGTATAAATTACCTTGGTATTGTATGAAGAATATATTATTTTCGGATGAATTGTACTTACTTCTGTATATGATTTCATTGATTTATGTAAAGTAAATACTTCAATACTTGCGTTAATTTGTTCATTGTTATTTATTGAATTCATTAAGGTGATACTCTAAGGAAGCCTTAGCGTGAAACTTCAAAGGCACAAATGTCAGTTTCCACAAAACATACCAATTTGAAATTGCCACTCTCTGTTTGTAGTAGCACAGTAAACATTTACTGGTGTTGCAATAGCGATGAACCTTTTCCACTGTCACTGTGGCAAAGCCGTGGGCAAAGCAGAGTATAGACGAGTGCACGGATGGATTTGAGTTCACTCACTCGACAAAAAGTGACACAACAGCGGGGCCCTGTTTACTAAAAATGAACACATATATATTCATTTCTAGTAAACAGGGCCCCGCTGTTGTGTCACTTTTTGTCGAGTGAGTGAACTCAAATCCATCCGTGCACTCGTCTATAAGAAGAAAAATGAACCTTTTCTTCACCTTGATTAACATTATTTTGTGATTCTGCATCCTGCCTATTTCTGGCCGCTTCGGAAGATGGAACAGTTCCATGAACATGAACAGCAAGTCGCAGGCGTTGGCCCGGATTATTTTTCATTTTCAGCATTTGTTTTGCAACAGCAGTTTAGTTACATTTCGTGTTTATTGGAGGAAATTAACTCAAAGAGTACTCGAAGAGTACAGCGTACTTCCAAATTATTTTTGAGGCCAGGTTTGTTGGTTGGACTTCACCTTCTTTGGACTGCTTACTCTTCGCGTTATTCTTGACTTCTAGTTGTTTCCATTCGGGCTTGGTAGGCGGTGGTCTTTTCGAGACTTTCTCTTTGGCAGCGTTCGATCACCGAGTGTTGCGAACCAGAGGGAGATTCGAATTTTGGAGAATCCGATTTGATAGTGATAATCTTTGGCGTCCCAACACCACTTGATGAACTATAGCCTACGGCTAAAAATCACGGTAATAAAGCAAAAAAAAATCGGCGTCCGAAACCCGACGGAACTTTAAGGGAGATCTTTCGAACGCAGAATGATCACTGCGAAGGCGGTGAAACGCTGGTGCTGGGGCAGGTGATGCTTGTGGACTTTCAGCTTAATTGTTTTGGTTGTGGAATTGCTTTGGGGACAGATGATCCCTCCCCATGGACATGGAGGTTGACGGTACTGAAGCAAAGGGTTATGTTTAATTTCTTTATATTTGCAACGATGATGATGTTGTGAGTTGAGTTTTGAGTTTTGAATTCGTTAGATGTTGTAATGGAGGTTTGTGTTGTTGGATGCGGGAGGAGATTGGAGGGCGGGTGTTTGACGCATAGAGCCTGTCAATTTCGCTTTCAGAGTGTCGCAGTCAGCGGTTTTATGATTCATGAGCGCTCGCGATTCGTAGAATCGTTGATTGTGACTGCCAGTGGATTTGGCGGGTTTTGTGTGTCGGACGCTTGCTTTTTGGCCTTTTCTTGTGTCTAACATGTGCAGAGTATCATTATAGCGTCTAATGGTTTTGAGATTCCTGGTTGCGTGAAATATACTTGTGAGAATATCTTTTTTGAGATTTTAGTAGTCACGTTTTGTTTGTAGTTTATATGTTATTTCTTTCATGTAATTATCGTAAATAATAGTTATTCAATAATAGATAATTCATCCATATATTCAATAATAAATTTACGAATGACTATAATTTGGATACCTAACAATTGGACAGAATCACTAGCAAGAATAGGTTGTGTTCACCTTCGAAAATATCGATTCGTTTTTTCAGGGTTGTAGTTTTGGTTTTCATCAGTGGCCCGGCTCTGATTGTGAACGATTTAGGTAGTATTTTTAGCACAACTTTGCTACTACGAATCCACAAAAGACATTAAATTGGAGGCGGATTCTGGTACGGAATTACAGGCTGCTATTCTGAGCAACTTATCTTCATAAAATTAAAAATTACATTTAGGTATTAATTAGCAAATATGAATAGTAGTTAACTTTAACATAATTTTGATAAAACAATCATTTCATCCAGTTCAC